AATTAAAATTAAAAAAAAAAAAAAAAAATAATAATAATAATAATAATAATAATAATAATAATAATAATAATAATAATAATAAAAAAACAACTGACCAGAAACTAGTGGTATTGGTGACTAACTGTAGGTAAAGCAAGTTTGATTCATTTTACAGGAAATATGCCTTGTAGCTTTATACTTGTCTTATTCATAAATCAATGCACTGATCCATTTTTAAACTGTAGTAAATAATTTCATGGTTTTATGATGTACTAATCTCCACTATCACTGTGGATAATAATACACGAACTTCTGATTTGTTATCTTGCAGAGGTAACAAAAGGTTTACGTATGAATAAAGGTAAATAAAGGTAATTTTATTTATATAGCACATTTTCAGCAACAAGGCAATACAAAGTGCTTATAATTCAAATNAAAATCNATCAATNTTTGNTTAATACAAGTGAGTTCAAAATTTAAAATATTATAAATATCTTCAAATATTTTTAATCATAATTTTAAGATAACTTAAAGCAAAAGTGAGAAAACGAGATCGCCTCTTTGCTGACCTAATGACTGTTGTTCATTGGAAGCGACGTGTCCGACGCGCACTGAAGGCAGCACCAGATCCTGAAGTTTGTAGATGAAATAAGTCCAGCTGGGTCATGCTCTAGTTTTAAGTCATGGCGAAACAATACGACGTTTTGTTCAGATTGCTCCTTCTCGGAGACTCCGGTGTTGGGAAGACATGCATGCTGCGCAGGTTCACGGAAGGTGAATTTGATTCTTCGCATATTTCCACCATCGGTAAGTAGAGCAAAGCCATCAGACAAGTTCTCATTGACAAACTTAACGATTTTTCAGTCACAAGATTAACCGGATAAACACCACTGCATACTCGGTAGACGACAAATTTTGAGTTATTGTAATTATTTACCCCCATCTTTCCCACGTCTATGTTGAGTTTCTTTGTTGACGTAAGATTACAGACTGCTTAAGGTTCTGCTGGGAATAATGAAATTTTCTAAAACCGCTCTAACACTTAAACTGTGATAATAATAAAACACTTTTAGAGAAGTAAAGTCTAACAGAAATGTTCTCATTTTTCAGTTGATGGTTTCTCAGAATAGAGTGGATAATGCCATTGGGACTTCATGTCTCTACTGTGCTTTTATTTGTCTCTTTTTCATTCATTACTCACTTGCATTAAACATGTGGCTGGCTGGATAGGCTTTCATGTGATGCGACTAGAAATTAAGGATCTGCGGTTTGTAGTGTGGGCTGAGTTATACATGTTATGAGACGAAGATGGTGGGCTGAACTTCACACTGGATTAAACTCAGACATTTGAACATTTCACATGAAGTCTGGGTTTTAGATCTCTACAATACATTGCAAAAGTTTCCATACCCCTTTAACTTTTTAGGATTTGTAATGTTAGTTTCATTGGGGGTCTGTTTGGGGGGTTTTATGTGACAACCCAAAACAAAATAGTTTATTAAAGAAATGGTTCCTTTCCCCCCCAAAAGAAATGGGGGGGGGGGGAGGTGAATGAGAGTGGCATTTTTGCATCAGCTAGTGTGAGAAATACAGATTGGACAGTGGACTCCCTCCACATGCCAATTATCAAAAACTAGCAGGTAGTAAAATGAAATATCATGTGTCACAAGTAACTATGAAAGGATCCACCCTTTTCCCTGAAAAACAGATAAAAGGTGTTTGTTATGGTTGCAACTGGTGGGATACCGTGTTCCACTTTAATATTTATTTAATGTTCCAGATGTACTGCAGAGAAACCAGCAGCTGAACTTTCAGAAAGCCAGAATATTTATTTTGAAACCACTTAAGAAGATTATAAAAAACTCGACCCTGCCTACAGAAAACTGTAAAAATGAAGAGTGGCATAATTCAAACTTTTAAAAAAACCCACTTAATCATAAAAGCTAAATGAAATGCTGTTGTAATTCATATTATGTAAAGTTCAGCAAAGTGTTGCAGATGCTGATAACTGTGGGCAGAAGGATATCCTGTAGCAGTCTGTATTACAGCGTATCTGAAGTGGACATTCAGGTTGACAAAAAAGTGATTATCTCTTTTGGACCAAACTTTCAGCTGTGGCCGCGGTGTAAGAACAAAGTGAATGGAGGACTGGGTACTGCCTTTGTTTTAATACAAACCAGTTACACTGCAGGCTGTGGATTTCTCAGCTCTTCTCTTCATATTGTCACCTAGCAGAGACGGTATCACCTTTTAAGTCAATTTATCTTCTTTGTTAGCACATGCGTGTCTTGGAGCAACAGTCTTTTGTGACTTTACAAATTAGCTTATGTAAAGTCTCACAAAGGCCTTTTTGTTCTCTTGATTGTCAGAGGTGAGTCTTTACATGATCTTTTCTAACTCTCTTGTGCATAAACTTTAAAAGGTTAGAAACCCCAAAGGCTATTCTATTAAAAATAACTATTCTCTAAAAAAAAAAAAAAAAAAAAAAAAAACTCCTGATCTCTTCATTCAAACTCTGTTTGTTGCACATATTTCTAAAAAAGGTTTATTTGTTACACATTCAAAAAGTCTCCAGGTTCAGAGCAGTCAAAACTTCTCAGGATAGTAGCCTGCATACTAGACTAACCAAAACACTTTTAAACTGAATTTTCAAGCTGCCAACAAAGTTTAAAAGGTTTTATAGAAGGGGTGCTGTGGTGGCGCAGGGGCAAAGCACGACCCACGTATAGAGTCCCTGGTCCCTGTGTCGGTGGTCACAGGCTTGATTCCCGGCCTGGTGACATTTGCCGCATGTCTCCCCCTCTTTCCTGTCAAACTACTTTCAGATAAAGGTCACTAGAGCCAACAAAACCTTTTAAAAAAAAGGTTTTATAGAAGTGCATGTCAGTTGACTTTATATTGTGGCAGTTCACAACAATAACCATCCCAAGGTACTTTTTAAGTCACATAAATCCCACTTTATGTACAGAAATACTGAACACTAAAATTATTTCAGTTGAAAGGGTGAGAGTAGGTAGTAGTAGAAAGGATGTCTTAAATTTTTCAAGAAAACATATTTTTGTTTGTGTTACGTTTGTTTCATAAAACAAGGTTAAAATTTGTACTTGAATGTAATTAAAACACTTTTGTCCCGAAAGATAGAAAATAAAAATTCATATCAATTCAAATTTTAAAATACATTCTATTACATTCCTAGTTATAAAACAGTAAAATTCTGCTCATAATGTCAATTGGTAAAAATATTTAAGGTAGTCCAGCTGATTACATTGATCCACTGACTGCAGCAATCCCTGAATGAGCATATGGCAACATCAGATTATAGGCTGACTACATCAAATCATTAACTTTGCAGCAGTAACTCACAAGGAGCATGCATCAGTTTTGCATTTGTTTTTCAGTGACAAAATACTTTCTTCCTGTTTTCATTTTCAGGAGTTGATTTTAAAATGAAAACAATCAAGATTGGTGGACTCAAGGTCCGAATACAGATCTGGTACGTTGTGGATTTTTAGTGCATAATGTATCTGAACATACAGACGCTGATAGCTGTGTGCTGTGGAATAGCCTGTCGCTTTCGTGTGTTTTGTTTTATGCAGGGACACAGCAGGACAGGAACGCTATCAGACTATCACCAAGCAGTACTACAGGCGCGCCCAGGTACAACGAAGCAGAACATGTCTCGCATTTATCAAACATTCCTCCATTCGTTCTCTTCTGTCATTTTACAGGGTATCATATTTGTGTATGACATCACAAACCTGCCGTCTTTTCAGCACATAGCTAAGTGGGCCAGTGATGTAGATGAAGTAAGTGCTCTGGCTTAACTCTGTCACCCCCGCTGCTCTGTTCTGCATCATATTTTTGTATTTCGTATAGTTCGCCCCAGATGATGTCCAAACCATCTTGGTGGGAAACAAAGCTGATGAGGAGTTTGGCAGACAAGTAACAAAGGACCAAGGAAAAAAGGTTGAATTTTACTATCTGTTTTTCTACTTTTAAAAGGGTTGATTTGAATATGTAGAGGTGAAAGTATATTTGTCAATAATGTTTTTGTTAGTGTTTAACATGTTTTTGATCGAAAAACATGTTAAATATAAATAAAAAATATAAATAAATTACAGTCAATTTCTATTCTTGTGTATTTCCATCCACAGCTAGCAGAAACCTACGGGATGGAGTTCTTTGAGACCAGTGCTTCCACCAGCAGCAACATCAGTGAGGTACCACACGTTTTGTCCTATCACAATCTGAAATATCAATGCATTTACCTGACAGATCAATACAAAGTAGTGGATAAATGTGATTTTCAAGGAAAATATTATTTCAAAGATCTTCCCAAGAAAGATCTGAAATCGTTAATTTTTATTTGTCATTAAACTGCTGCACAAGAACCGCCTTTTGTTGCAATTAGAGCTTACATTGTTTTTTTTTGTTTGTTTTTTTTTAACATTGGCTTTCTTCTTGCCCTCATCCATTAAGACAAAATTCCCTGACTTATAAAGGCAGTGTGTTCCACTGAACTTTATTTAGGGGTACTAGAGTAAAGGAGTATAAAGCAAATTCAACACAAATTTCTTTTTTTTTCAGATTATTGTTCATAAAGTGTGAATCAAACCACAGCTGCTTTAAATCCTCCTCTACATTTATGCAATACTCTGTGCTCGTCTACACCCTAAGCTCCCACTCAACACATTAAAGTTCTTTAGTTTTAATGTGACAAAATGTGAAAAAAAGTTCAATATGGAAGAATACTTTTGCAATGAATTTTTAGACTTTTTCACCTTTTCTTCTTGCAGTCATTCATCCGTGTGACAGAACTGGTGCTTCAAGCTCAAATGAGGGACGTGGATAGCCTGTTGGGGTCTCTGGACAACTATTTGGATCGGGCCGCTCTGCAGGAAGAGAAGGGCAGCCAGGATAATGATGCTCAGAGGACTTGTGCCTGTTAAAAATGAAGCCTGTCACTAAACCTCAGCTTGCAGCTCTAGCATATTAGATTTTATTTAACCATTTCCTGACTCTTTAAAAACACGTAGACTTGTTACACAGGAAAGTGTTGGATTACTTTCACTTTTTCAAATTAAATGTCCACAGGTGCAGTAAACAGCAGCTGCCAACAGAGGGCTAGTTTGGCAGAATGATCAGGGAATCTTCCTGCCAGTTTAAATTGACCCGCTCATTATCTTTTCTCTCTTCAAATGCTGATCTCTGCATCATTAGTTTACTGAATTGAGTGGCTTTTGGGCTTATTTGTCCTTTTTTTTTTTATTAGTTGAGGACAACTCAGAGCAAAGTTTACATCCATATTTTTGCACCGTTGTGACAGACACAGAAACAAAGAGGTCAGAGATATGAATTATTAAGATCTGGAAACTAAAACCAAGTGGAGCTGTTTCATTTACTCTATGGGCTTTCTTCTTAAAGGAACCACTACTGTGCCATGCAGACAGATATTTATAAAAAAAAAAATGTTACTATAAGTACTTATTCTGAATACTTTTAGAAGAGCGAAACTATAATAAGGTGCTGCTAAACACAAGGTGTTTAATGTCTCTAAAGGAGACAAAGGTGTGTGATTTTAAGAAAAAAAATGTTGTTTGTGGCAAAACTTTAAATAATATATGTTAAGTTAAAATAAATATCCATGATAATGTTCATGTTTAAATAAAATAAAGTGCAGTCTGAACTTTGCTGAATTTTTTTTTTCCTATTAGAACTAAATGTTAGGTGTGCACGGAGTTCAGGCAGTAGCTTCATGTATATTTCATTAGATGCCGACAGACACAGGCGAATGTTTAAGTTTTGATGACTAAGAAAGCTGATACATGCCTGAAAGCCAAACAATACTGGTTAATACTGGTCTCCCGAAATTACCTACTGCTGCTGTGTTGTATAACGTGAAACCTCTGTGTATTCTAATAGGATTTTAGAAAATAGTGATAAATTATGAACTACAAGAATAAAAGTTGGTAAATATACAAAGCTGATGGAGAGATAACCCAAATGACTTCAGCCTTCGCTGCAAGTAAATCGGTTCTGCATAGTGTTGATTCACACTGGCTGAATCCAAATGCACATCAACCTTTTCAGGTATTTTTAATCGTACAATTATTTGAATACAATGTGTTCTTTTATTTCCACTTCTCAAATATGCACTACTTGTCTTTCATCAATTGGATTCAATCTCAATAGAATACATTGAACTTGTAGTTTTAAAGGCATTTTATGTGATGTACTCGTTTTTAGCTTTTACAGTCAGTTCCTTTCCTCTATCTAAAACATGTATGCAGTGTATGTCACCAGGAGATCAGCTTCCTGCAGGGCTACCTGAGACCTGTGAAAGGCAACTTGCTTCTCTGAGTGAGTCATGTGGTCAGGGGTTTGGATACAGTCGGATGCCGAGACCCAGTCTCCCTCCAGTGATACATCAAAGAAGCCAAGATGACCTTCATTGCTAAGACCTTCTATGACCTGAGGGCCACCTCGCTAGAAGGGGACTCAGTGGACTTCAATGTCTTCAGGGGACGAGTGGTCCTGATAGAGAATGTGGCCTCCCTCTGAGGCACCACCACCCGGGACTTCAGCGAGCTGAATCAGCTGCAGAGCAAGTACCCCCATCGGCTGGTGGTCCTGGGCTTCCCTTGTAACCAGTTTGGATACCAGGTAAGTAATTCGGAGGTGAATCTTTTTACTCATTTCCTGGAAGGAGAATTTAGACATCTTCCTACAGCTAGTAGAAAAAAAAAATGCCCAGCATATCATTGATATGATGTTTTTTTTTGTTTTTTTTTTATTTTGTACCTTTTTTATTTCCTTTTAATTTATGAAATTTCTAAATATCGATATTGCCTGTTCTGTGCAGGAAAACTGTACCAATGGTGAGATTCTGCATTCACTGCAGTACGTGCGACCAGGCGGTGGCTTCAAGCCCAACTTCACCTTGTTCAAGAAGTGCGATGTCAACGGAGCAAACACACATCCTGTCTTTGCCTATCTCAAATGCAAGCTCCCTTATCCCGAAGACGACCCAAGTTCCCTCATGCAGGATCCCAGATTTCTTGTTTGGAGTCCAGTCAGCAGGGCGGATGTCTCCTGGAACTTTGAGAAATTCCTCATCGGGCCGGAGGGAGAGCCCTTTAAGAGATACAGCAGGAATTTTCCAACTATTGACGTAGAGCCTGACATCCAAAGGCTGCTAAGATTAACAAAGACCTAAGAATAGCATCTACTTCCTAATGGCATTTCATTCATTACTGTCAAAGCTGACAAGATGACCTTCACACTTTTAAGCCTTAATAAATGAGGGCGATATTCTAAAACGTTGGCAGAATATCACCTGAAGTCAAATAAGTGCTTAAAATTAGTGGATGTTATTTTCATTTTTCAGTGATTTATTTATTTATTTATTTTCAAATAACAGTGTTTTATAGAATATGAAAACTTATTCTGTAAGTTTTGTTTCTTGTCTTACATAAGTGCTACCAGCAGATGGTGCTACCCAACTAATCATGCAAATAGAAACTCCAGTCATGCTTTTATGAATTGGCATTCCAAGCACAATCAAGGATGCACAGAAATAAAATCTTGAAAGTCACATTTGTGTGTTTTATTATTTCATTCATGTTTAATACAAATCCCAAATAGCATCTGCTCCTCAAGCAAAGCTCACTGTAAAGTAGTTAAAAATCCCAACAATAATGAATCTTGAAATGTGGCAGAAGGAATCTGCAATTGTCTTCAGCACCTTTTAAAATAACCAACAGGATATGCATCAGCATTACGCGGAGGCCTGTGGGCAGCCAATTACTTAAGCTACATTTCCAAGTAAAATTTGCTGATACAAGTAAACCACGCAGCTGCAGGAATGCATTACTGCCACATTGCTTCCTAAAGAAGATCCCTGAATCAGTCATTTAAGCATCGGCATTGCTCTGGTGTGATAAGCTCTCATCCAGCTTTGGTTTTCCACATGCGGAGGGCTTTGTTTGGAGGGTCCGCAGATTAACGCCGGATTTTCTGGACATCCGCTCACATTCACATCAGTTCATGATGTCAGAGCTACCCTCAGCACAGGCCAAGCAACATCCTGATGGGTTTTGCATTGAATGCACTGGTGTCAAACACTGAAGCTCGTAAGACTTCACAGCTTTTATTCCTGCTTGTCTTGGCTCCAACTTTACATTTCTGTGTGACCACTTGACAACAGTCACTTTCAGACACCAATTCATTGTTTTAGTAATTTCAATGGACAGAGCAGTTAGAATTTCCTCCATGCGAGGCAGAGAAGACAAAAGTCGTTATTTTTGGTCTCAAAAATGCAAGATTAGATAATCAGCAGGGCATTCAGACTTCACGAGGCTAAAGAGAAGATTCTTCAATAAACCTAGTTGCTCTAGGGGATTCAGATTGTTATCTCCCATATAAAGTCTATTTTAAAACAGTTTGCCATTCTCTTTAAGATATTGGCAAAATAAGGGCTTGCCTGTCAAATTAGCACCTGCAATAATACTGGGACTTCTGATATATTGTCCTTTGGACAGATGAACCAAAAATTTAATTATTTAGACACCAGAGCAGAAGGCATGTCTGGCCTTAACAAACAAACAAACAAACAAACAAACAAACAAACAAACAAACATGTGTAATGGTTAGGGAAAACAATTCCTCAGCAGGACTGGACCATCACACAATCCACCAACAACTGTGTTAGAGGCTGGTTGAGGAAAATATTGGACTACCTGAAGGAAAAAAAAATGCTAAAAACATCATGCTAATCACATGTCAGGAACCTCTTGGTGCATTTTTGTATTTATCTTTTGTTTAATGGTTAAAACAAACTTATTTTTGTTGTTTCCCTGCAATTAATTAAATCTTCTAAAATTTAAACATAACGAAATTTCTTAATTAAGGACTGAATATATTCCAGTGTTTTCCAATCACTGTGTTTTTCAAGACAGAGTGAGAACTCTCTCTTCTTACTTTCACGTTTCTTTCTTTGTTTTGTTTTTGTTTTGTTTGTCTACTCTCTACAGGTGAGCTCTGTTGCCACGGCAACTCTTTGCATTGTTCTCCCCCACCTTGCCTTCTCGCGAGACTCCCGGGGTAGAGAGGGAGGTGAGGGGAGGCAGAGCCTGAATGATCTCATCCCTTCAGCAGCTGCATAGCGCAACGAGGCAAAGCCGTAACTTTCTATCAAACTTCCAAGTTGCCTTTCGGAAGAACACGGAGGGACATTTTTTTTTGGACTGAGCCCGAAGCGAACACGTTTCTTGTAGAGGTGAGGAGGGAGCCACCGCGTAGTTTTTGTGAGGGACTAAAACAGCAGCACCTTACGAGTTCAGACAAAAGGAGGAAAACCGCGTTGTGTGACATCCAAAAAGGAGAAAAGGTGAGTCGGGAACGTGGTGCTGGTCATGTGCCAGCGCACTAACATCTGTCGGCTGTATGTGTTTATATAGAAAGCACATATCTTTATTTTTTCAGTGCGCAATCAGTGCCAGTGGTGTCTTTTTTAACTAATGGTGGTGAGACTCGACTATGTCACTGCTGTTGTCAAAATTGTCGAATCCCTTGCGAATGTCAAGGACGCTGTTTGTCACACACAGGTGGTATTTTGCATGCTATCCCATTAAACACAGCATGTAACATAAACAAATTAATGTGTCACCACCCGAGTTATTTTCTAGTGACTTACCCCAGAGGCACTAGGTGATTTCCTATCCTTTCCACATCTGTTTAACCCTGAACTGTGCCCCGACATGTCCATCTGCCTGAACACCAGGGTGACTGGAAGTCACCAAATGATCTGTTTAATAACAGATTTAACAAAGCCAGCCTAGATGAATGCAGTTCAGGTAGAGTGAAACGGTAGACAACATGAGGCGAGGCAAACTCTGGGTTTTAAATTGGTTTTGATAAAGCTTTTTAAATTTGAGTGCAAAGTAGTGGTTTTGAAAATGGGGCAGGTGGTTCTCTACTCAGAGCGGCATGGTCTGGGTGGGTGCCATTTGTAAAACAAAAAGTTATCAAGGCTGTAAAAAGTTATTTTTGCTTAACTGTGGTGGCCTACTGTTTTGCACATGTCTGCTTTATGACTGGGTAATAACACTTTTTGTCTGATGATTCCCAACTTCAGGGTAGATAATAAGCCAAAATGCTATTAAGCTTCTTTTTTTACATGTTCTTTTTAAGGCTCTGGGTTTCATTTGATCATTTGTACTTTAAAATCAGAAATACTTAAAGGCATAGCAGAGTGGTTTATAGAATTATTTTTGGAAAACACAAGACCAGAAGACATGTGATGCCCTGGTGACCTGTCCGGTGTACACAGTCTCTCATCCAGTGACTGCTGGAAATGGGCACCATATCCCCTTTTACCCTGCATGGACGAGTTGGTATAAACAATGAGTGGATGGAAGACTAGAAGACATTAATATATATTTATATTTTTTTATTTTTAATGCTTCCCTTAAGATACGTTATTAAATATTGTTATTTTTTCCCCTGTATTTAAATAAATAAAAAAATGAATAAACACCAAGAGCTTTATTTATAATAACTTTTTTTTTTTTTTTTTTTTTTTTTTTTTAAAAAACAAAAAAATTTTTTTTTAACTTGGTTTTAGCCAGGGGGAAAAAAGGGGAAGCCTTGGCTTTTAACT